GTGTCATTCGCTGCCCTCTCACAAAGCTTCTCAGCGATCCATTTGCTCCTTCCATATCCGGTAGCGAGCGCGGTCCCCGGCGATACTGGGAAGTCTTCCAGGCAAACAGGATCGGAAGAACCCGATCGCGCCGCTATGGACGAACTAAAGAAGAAGGAAGGCCGTTGCGTCTTAACCGAACGGAGGCAGAGGTTGATCAGATTGAGGACACCGCCGATGTGCTCATCATACGATTGCACTGACATGTTGAAATTAACAGGCCACGCATTCTGCGGAACAGAAATTAGAATACATTGCAGCAACAATCGCGCGTGAAATACGAACGTGAATAACAGTGGTCGTTTGAGACAATATATTGGAATACTCGTCTGAAGACAAGCCAAGTCGATCCTCATTAACATTGGCAGCAAACGATTGAACCTTAGTCCACTGTTCGCCAGTCAGACTAAGATGTCTTTGCCGCAGTGACTCTTGCAGACGCGTCAGAGAGTCGGAGTGCGATTGTGCCCGTGAGAGACATATTACTGCGGATACTGAAGGAGATGAGACGAGTTGGTGAAGTATGTGCGCTCCTAAAGAGCCCGTGGCACCGGTAAGGACCTATATAACATACGGGCGCGGATGTTAAGGGCAATATAGTATTTTGTATAAGTGCAAGCCCACCACAGTCGATTTGACAGACACCGCAGTATGTCCATTCTGATGTTGGGATTGCTTGAGATCAAACTTCGCTGCCCATTTGTTGACCATTGCTATCATGGAAGCGTGTCGCTCCTCTTCTGACGTGACAGCATCACCTCCAGATCGGACAGACAATATGTATGTAGCCAGCCTATTCTTTCGTTAGTACAAGCCGCGATGATGATGCTGGTAAGAGAACTTTTCTACGGATGGGTTCTCATAAACAACTGGCATCGATTAAGTAAGCATTTATATCTGGAATATCATTCTCTCTCACCATTCTGTCCAAGTGTAGCTCCATTGAGTTCTACCTCTTTCTGGCAAATATTCCGAATGCGCGTTGCCTGGAGGGAATCGACACCGAAAGCAAAGAGGTCGGATGTCCTCGTCAACCTAGTGGCTTTTAGCTGTCCCAATGTTTGCGTAAGTGCATTCAAAATGAAGTCCTCTAGTTCTGGCCTCGAGAGGTCGAGTTTGTTTACACCGGTCCCGTTCTCGAAACGATCATAGACGGATTCTGTCAAAATGACACTAAGCTGGTAAAATTCGTGCGGCGATCAATGACCCACCAATAATATCCTTGAACTTCGCATAGCACGCAGGTCGTAAAATAGACATCTTCGTGGCTTGTGGTATCTGCAAATACATGGTTCAGAGATGAATATATAATCAAATCTTTAACCGGACATACCGGAGTTCCATAACTTTTTCGTTTGAGTAACAATCAGAATCGTCACTTTGTAATAGAGGAAGTGATTACTCAAGGATGTATATCATTTCCGGGAGAATGCGTGAATGTGTTGGAGCTTGCGCATTGGCGTCTTCCACAATTGGCCAGATCCTCTTTAAAAATGCGTCCCTATCCTTTGACAAATCCTTGCCCAGCTCCGAAGGCAAAATTAAGCAGCCAACTTGGGGCCTTCCATCCCCGAATACAATCGCCTCCTCGACGTAAGGACTATTGCCACGGATAGCGAGTTCAATAGGGACTATGCACTGAATTTAAGAATCTCGTATAAATGTCACGAAATAATGATACCCACCAGGATTCGTCTTCTCCCCCAAGACTAGTACGAGTGTATCATCCAAGCGACCAATATACTTGTACCAGTTATGATGTTTCGGATGTCTGATGAAGAGATCCTTCGTTGCATATGATCCGTCTGGACGGTTTGACTGGATCTTGGCCGGCCATCCGTCTTTGACGACAGACTCAAATGTGCCCGATCCACGATCTTCCATGACCATATAGTCTGCGATAGGCCCTTCCATGCGCAGCCAATTCCAGGCTTTGTCAATTGCAAAATTTCGGGTGGACTTGATTAAAGATCCCGTCTGCGAGAACAAAAGGCTTTGTGACCAAGCCGAGTCGCACGTTCGCGCGACCGCATACCTCAGTCGTACCATAAATAGCATTTATGTTCACGCCAGCGGCAGTGAGACGGTCTCCCAGTTCATCCTGAAGATGAGGTCAGAATTCAGAGATACGTTGAGATCGGCGATGCCATACAGGGAGTGCAGCACCAGCGAACGTAATACTCTCGAAGTCCGCTAGGGCCTTAACGCCTTCTTCCGTTTCTCCTAAGAGCTGAGAGATACTCAGTTTACCGCGCATGCGCTTCATACAGAAGGCGCTACTCACCTTGATGACATAGGGCACGGCAAAGAAGAGCGGACAAGGCACCGGAACGGCCTTAATGGCTTTGCATACATTCGCCGATGTCAGCGGTAAGTGGGGTGGGAAAAGTGAGAATGGGACACCAGCGTAATAACACCTGAAACTATCAAATGAAGATGTATGAGAACTGTCGTAGGCAGTCATGAACGACTACTTACACGCAATAATGGCCAAATCCGTGATACACAGGGAGAGCGCTAAATCCGGGCTTTGCGACAAAGCCGGCTACATTTGCAATCATTGCTAGATGAGTAATATATACAGGTTTGGGGAACCCAGTCTATGGGACTGTGAGTACTGATTCGCATATAGGATGGTATTTGCAACACGTAGAAACACGTACTGATCCAGAGGAATGCAGAATGACAGCGGTCCTTCCTGTCTCATCTATGGGCTGCAAGACAGCGGAAAATGGCTCTATCTTAGCATTGGCAGCGCCGTCGGGTCCCCACAAAGGAAAACGTCTCTCCGGAACGATCTCCAGTTGATAGTCTTGCTGAGACAGTATCTTCTGCGCTTCTTGCGCCTCCGCATGAAACTTATATCCATAGATCAGATGGGAAGACTTTGTGATTTTGCAAAGATGTGCAACCGCAGGGACAGAGTTATTGACAGACAACAATAATGGCGCCAGCCCGAGCTTTACGAGGGCTATCTCAAGAAGTGATTCATCGATTGCAGTTGACGTTAGGACTGCGATCGTACGCTCCGGGGGAAGGCCATTTTCCTCGACGGCTGGTAACAAGCCTAAGTTAGCGTAGTGCGCACAAAGGCGATCCACCCCTCGTTGAACTTCCAGATATCTAGAACCTCGCTCATAAAACTTGTGTAAAACATCGAAGGAACGCAAGGCATACGTGAGGGGTCGCAGCAAATCTCCCGGTTCATCTATGCCCGTGTAAATGGCGACATCGTTCGGCTGGTCACCTACGGGGATGGAGTATGCTGAATGAGACTACCCGCGCGGAAATAGACGAACATACGAGCTCGGATAAAAACAAGTTCAGTCAAAGATAATGCAGCAAACGTGGGGGCAGGCATGGTAGGTGTCCTCAGTGGCAAGTGTACAACAACCACGATAGATATCTGCCACTAATATAAACGACGAGAGGTCGCACCCAGAAGCGTGACGCTACGCTTAGCACGGGTCGTGATAGGGAGAGATATTCCACCCCAGTTCGGCCACTACACAAGAACCTTGATCATGGAGAAGTTGACCCCTGGTCATAGGGACAAATCATGAGACATCCCGGAAAGGACGGCACGAAAACGGCATGAAAATTCCCTGATCCCTCGGAACGGCAGTCCAACGGAGCTTGGAGTAATTAGATCTAGACTAAGACCATACTGTAATCTCTGCCGTGTGAGAGAACCTCGAAGGCTGAGCATTTCTCAGTCTCATGAGGTTCTAAAAGTACCGTGCCGCCGCACTTTCTTCATAATGGCTTGACGAGTTGATATCCATTGTAGCCAGCAATACGTCTAGTTTTGTATCGCAAAGAGAAATTGAACATGGATTTCTGTAACATTCTGCAGTGGAGTTCTCCTTCTCAGCAGAACGTCCGGACCGCAAGTGCAGTAAGCGACAATTGCTCCTTGAGGCCCGACAGTGTGCGCGACGGACGTAGGTCCGAGATGTTGTGACAGGTTCAACGTTGCTTCCCTATCGCAGCAAACTAAGCCGTAGTCCTTAGTGGCGAGTGGTCGACTTACAAGGTGGTGATTTCAGACCGCGACCTCAAGACCACTTTCCAAAAGCCACTTGAGGGTTTCCGCTGCCGGCCGCAACGCAGGGGATTCTGTGTTTCCCGCAGACTTGATAACAGCAACAAGTACCCGCACAATTCCAGCGCGGTCCGCCTCTAACGCCAGCTCTTTGCGGATGGCTGTATCCCGAATAGAATAGAGCAGATTACGAATACAAACGGCCCCTCGGTGGACAAGACCCGGATTGGGAGCACTTTGATTGTTATTGTCATGTTGTTCCTCCTCATATGTTCCAATAGATTGATCAACCAGATGTCCAAAGATTGGCAACACCCGACGACGCTCGCGCTGAAGCTGTATCAGAGCCTGACAGGCATCTTGAGAGGACGTCAGTGTAGCCACTGCACCTGATGCGGCCAACCGCGTAGGGAGATCATCAACGTCGCAAAGGGCAACGAGGACCTGTAATTTCGAGTTCGAAGCCTCCGAATGCTTGCCCCCGTACCTGTTGAAGACGTCCTCGCAGCCACCCACGAGATTGCAAATGAGCTCAGTCGAAGCTCTGCGTACTAATGTGTGGTCCTCCAATATGAGCAATTCTACTTTGTCCATGAGGCCCCCTGCACAAGCGATCTTATTGGCAATCTCGCTGCCTTGAGACGATAAGTTCGTAAGAGCCATGAGGGCTTCGAACCTCTGCAGTAGATTTGAAGTATGTTGTACCAACATCAAAGCGAAGGGTCGAATTGCGTCATACAACGCTCCTTCGTTCGGTCCAAAAACCTGCAGTGGAGACGAGGTGATTGCGAGCTTTGCCAAAGCTTGAATGACCTCGATCTCTGGGAGATCTAGTTGAGGAGACAGGAGTCTTGTACGAGCATTAGAAGATGGGAGAATCCCTTGGATTATCACCATCAATGCCTTCGCACCTCCCGACTGTAGAACTTTACCGCGATTCTCTATGTTTTCCACGAGGCTGAGCAGCGCCTTCCCCACAGCAAGCCTGACAGCTCGACTCTCCGTGGCTCGTACAGTGGATGTCAGGACGTCTAACACACCACTTTGGATCATCTTCACACCTCGCGCTTTGACGTGTTCATCATCCTCTAATGTATCGTCTTCGTTAATCCGACCACCCGACATGCTACCGGGAGTTTTAGCCATTTGCTTTAGTTTTTCAATCTGAGCCTCTTCTTCCGTAAGACGAGGGCGATAAGAGCAAATATTGGAAATAATGGTGACGACACCGTATAGAGGCGATTTGGCAGATTCCTGGATGAACTGGGAGGAAGTGCCTGTACCTTTGCGACGTGGCACCACGGAGAACAGGCGTTTCAAGAAGGAGGTATCACCTGCCAGGGCCTCCTTCACTCTGGCATTTGTGCTCATGTAGGCGAGGCCTTCGATAGCGTCCGCAACAGAAGAGGTTTTCGATTCATTAACAACCAATCCTCTCATCAGCTCAACGAGGTCTCCGTCATCAGAGGATAACTCTCGATTCTTCTCGACATCTATACCATTTTCCCCAGCTCCTCGAGATAGTTTGACTAGCGCTACTGCGGCTGCTCCGCGGAGCACACTGTCGTTAGTTTGACGCGATTTTCCAGTAAGCCACTGCAAAACCTGAGACGTGATGAGAGCGCGACAAGATTTGTGACCACACGCTTGCGATAGAAGATGTGCGACAGATAATGAAACCTGAGAGGATACGGGAAACATATCGACGGCGTCCATTATGAGGTCGGGAAGAGCGTCCTCCTGGAATATAGAAGAGGCTGCTTGCCAGTCGACTTCAAATAGAGCCGATAAGAACGACATGCCCTCCACGAGTTGTTCTTCTATCGTCTCGGACATGCGGGAGAGTACGGCAGGGCCAAATGTTTTATGCATCGATTCTGTCGCCGCGTCCGCTGGCTGTTTTCCACCAGACGGTCGAGACACAGTCCGAAGTTGTTGACATACTGCAGAGAGAACGACATATGCCCGGGAGCGAAGTGCTACATTTTGAGACGGGAGGAATGCGCGAGCCAAGCAAGACAATTCTGCTGGGGAAACGGTCCCGCGCGTCTTGTCTTGAGATTTCTTGAGAATAGCATTAAGATCATCATCGAGCGACTCTGCCATATATGTGAGACGGTACGATGCCTGAGCGATGGAAGCTGAGAGTCAAACAGTCTCCGAACAGCTCGAAGCCTCAGATCGTGATCCTCAGTGAAACACGTGACAGAGAAACATACCCGAAATTTCAAGGAATCAAGGAATCGGCCTTCGAGCTTACCACCTCAGCATATAGCTGGCTGAGTCCTTTTCACAGTTATGGATCTGGGTGAAGGATCGTCTCGCGCGCCTATAGACAAGACGAGGGGAGACACTATCCAACCTGGGAATACGCTCCTGCTGAAATTACCTAGCGGAGACATCAAAACCTGGAAGTTTGAAAAGGATTCGTGAGTTGAATCGTCGTCACTGAAGAGTATTACAGCCGTACTGACAATATTCGCAGTATTGCAAATCTGGGGAAATATGGATCTTTCCATGCCAATGAACTGTTGGGCCAACCTTACGGCCTGACGTACGAAATTGCGGACAAGAAACTCAAAGAGATGGCATCCCGCACCTTGCAGGAAGTAGGTATGAATGTCCTTTTTTTTACACTTTGCATCTCACCTCTATATGACAGGGGACACTGATGCCACGAATGAGCTCATAAATGATGGTCAATTCGTTCAGCCTCTAACCTCAGAGGAAATCGAAGCGCTCAAAAAATCCGGCCTTCACGCATCTGTAAGATATACTTTATCCAGTCATATTGTCAAGACTGATGTCTTTGCTGTAGGAAATCATAAGAAAACAAATAGAACAGCACGCGAACTACTCACTCAAGACCGAATATAGCAAGGAGAAGTATAAAAAGCGCAAAGAAGCAAAGTCAGTTTGTATGTACAGTCACCGCAAAATTACACTAAAGATGCTGCAGATATTCTAAATATTTTACCGTTGTTGATCCAACCGTGTTCAACGTCTGTGACTACTGGTTCAATAAGGATCAGAACAGACTACGCGATATTCGCCCAGATGCGCTGTCACAAATTCTAAATCTGGCCAACGTCAGACCAGGTGGCAGATTCCTTGCCGTTGACGATGCTTCAGGCGTCATTGTTGCCGGAATTCTGGAAAGGCTGGGTGGTACGACCTATTCGTCTCTGACACCATGATCTCCATAAACATAATGTATTATGTACAGGATATGGTCGCCTGATCACAATATGCGACGTAGATTCCCCACCTGCATATCCTGTAACAGCGCATATGAATTTTAGGAAAGAAGTTACAGACGTTCTTTCGTCGTTAAACTGGGCTACCGCTGACGAAGAGTACATCCCCAGTGCGTTGCGTATCTACTGACCACTTACACAAGAGGACTAACAGATTGTCAGTCAGAGCCTCTTCGGAGCCACCGTCTGGGAAAATCAAGTCGGATGCACAGAGGTCAAGACTCAACAAGCGGAAGCTCGTCTCGAGTTCGCAGACGCAAACTAGGGAAGAACTGTTCAATGGGGAATTCGATGGGTACGTGTTTCGACTCTCAGCAGACGGTTAACTTGACACCCTCATAGCTTGATCATAGCCAGTGAATATGACCCTAGTTCAATCTTGGAGAGGCTTGCGCCATACTTGGCCGGCTCCGCGTCGATTGTTGTTCACAGTCTCCACGTACAAGTGCGTGTCTTGTCCTACTATAACCAAAGCCTTGAGTCTAAGACCAATGACGCTATAGGTGATAACAGATCTACAAAATAAATTACGAGACGACCCTCAATTTTTGGGTCCCACAATGACAGAAATGTGGTTACGGCGCTATCAGGTATCCCTGGCACGACCGAGTCTCTCACTTCCCTGTCACGCTCACGTGGTTGAACATAGGTACTACCGGGGCGTACGCATCCAATGATGAATATGTCGGGTTCAGGCGGGTTCATCCTACATACTACCAAAATGTACGTGCCTACAGTCAAAGTGACTTTCAGACCAATCCGCATGCTATTTCACAGATATGATGACCCTGCTGCCTCATCCGTAATGGCGCATCGACAGAGGGCGAAGAAGGCAAAAATTGAGAACGAAATTTTAACTGAGACAACATGTGCGAATTCGACATCAAGATCAAATGTCTCGCCAGGATCTCATCCTATGGCTGACTTTCAATCTTCAGCCGAGGATACTGTCGAGGAAGGGGTACCAGATTTAACTGACCTTGCGTAACGATTTACAATTATATGGTGATGTATCTATCTAGCTACATGGGCTTACACAGTCGCAATTGGAAACCAGTCTGCGATGACTTTTCCCCAAATATTTGAAATTACTACGACGATGACGGAGGGAAGAGAGCAGCGAAAACCTTCAAAAAAATGAGCGGACGGTGTATACAAACCGTTGAAGATACCTACTTCATCCACAATTGTATAGAGAAGGTGCTGGTTCAGCCGCCGATTCTGTAGCACAGCAAAAATTCTTCGTGCACCGCGACGTGCATTGGATCTCCCAATCATGTTCGCGACCAAATCTGATAAAGTATCGTTAGCACTTGGGTAAAGTGAATACAGCACCTAAGCTAACCTGGCATCAACGCCGAAAGCTTACGATTTGCTTCGTCCTTCGCGCGCAACTTCTCTTCTGTCGTACGAGGTGCGCCGGGAGGCTTCAACTTGCCGCCCGGCCATAGACTGTCACGGAAGATGTTAATGTAAGACATTATATGAGATTCATCCATATATGATTTGAACGTCTCCCTCAGTTTTCTAGAATGTTTTGTATTAGACAAAGAGAGCAGCAGAGAACGTAGGACATACCGCTCGATAGTATCGCCAAAAACCTGTTGCAAGATGATCACAATGGCCTGTCGTCTGAGCCAATTATTCTTCTTGTCGAGTTCAAAGACCGCAAGGACCAGGTCGCATATAGGTGAGGAGAACGAGGAGCTACTGGTCTCCCCTTGTAATGGTTTGAGGTCTCCTGGAAGCTGGAGAAGTGTATCATCTGAGCTTGTCTTTCCGGACGCCTTTAAAACCTGGGCGACGAGATCTTCATCGTGTATACCACTACCAACGATCCCAGCGAATTCAGCCGCTTGTGTGGTGAGGCGCTGGATTATCACGTCCAACATGGATGGCCCAAAAAACATATCGTCAATACTCTCAGCAACTGACTGGTAAACTGTGCGAACGATCCCCTTGCTTGACGAAGGAGCAGGAGCTGCGGTACTAGGATTCAAAGACTCAGCCGCGATGAAAGGCGAATCGCGTGATAAGAACATGCGTAGTTCATCGCTCTCACAAACAGCAGGAATCGTAATTAAGCTCTATAACGACTTTGAATACGAGTCATTAAGCGGTAAACGAGACGTACCTGTAGATACTTCTCTAATGCAGCTTTCCGGGAGTCTACGAAGCTAGCCGACAATGCTGTCACAAGGCGCTTACCGGGGAAGTCCAGGTTGCGAACAAAGGAATAACGTTCCCTGAGCTTGTTATGCATTGTGAAGAATTCGTTGTACCTCCGCGCAACTACCCAACCTGAAGAGAACAGGCCGTCGTGCGCCAACTGCTGAACTTCAACCAAGTATCGGACCACAGACTTCCCGTCTTCTTCCCCCACGGCCGAATTGACGATTGCGACCTTGGTACGATCCGAGACAAGACGATTCGCAGATTCTTGTTGCTCATACTGAGATTTCTGGAAATTCAGTTCTCGGAGCTCTCTTGCGAGTGACGACCGAGATTTACGCAAAAGCTTGAGTTCCTGCGTATCTCCCGTGAGCTCTGCCTTTTTTATCAACGTGTCCAGCATCGCACTCTGGGAGTGTAAGGCGTCGACCTTACTGGCAAGCCTCATGATTTCATGAGATAATTGCAGATCGCCTGGTCCGGCAAGTTGAAAAGAACCATGTTCCTTCTGAATATCGTCGTCCCGTTCTTCCTGTCCATCGTCTTCTTCGTCAACATCGTCGAATACTGCGCCTCGTGCCCTTTCCTCAACCATGCTTTCAGTTAACTCTGTGGTCTCCCCGGTCGTGGTTGATACCCTCCCCCGAGCATTATCGTGGCCGTCCAGGGCAATAATGTCGGTCAGTGCTGCCTGTATAGCGTCCATTCGTCTGGACTGCTCCGTCATTTTTGCGTCTTCTGGATCGTCAAATAAAGGCGCTCTGGAGGTTGACATTGAAGGGGATGCAGGGATAGGAGACATAAGGAGTTCAAGATTTGAAGTAGACGCGCGAGGTAGAGGGTTGATAACGGGCGTGATTGGCAAAGACTCATCCAAGCGGAAAGTTCTAGATTGAGGTGGAAGATTTAGGATTGGAGTGGAGGAAGACCGCGGGACATGGAAAGCACCATGTTGGACAGATGTAGACATCGATGCTGAAGTCCCCGAGGAAGTCCGCGAGATAGACATGGGGTCATCATCCCTCCCTGGACCTAACACAGCACTTCTTGTCCGCCCGGTGGCTTCTATGTCGCCGACAACATGAAACCACAATTCCGACCGTTGGAAATCTTCAAAGTCCTGTTCCATGTCCTTCTCCACCTGTCTTTGTGCCAGCATCACGCTCCTTCGCACTCGTCTTTCCGCCACCAACGTAGGGATCCTCTCATCCAAACCGAATGTCTTAATAGCATTCACATGCTTCTGCGAAACGGAGGCCAGTACTGGATCGGGAGTAGATCCCGAAAAGTACAAATCTTTCATCATAGATATGTCTTCTTTCAGAGTAGCAGAGCGGGCGGGATCCAATACAGCTTCATCGTCCTCATCGGAGCTCCCGGAATCTACGGATTCCAGAGGATTCTTGAAGCTCTCCACAGTCAACCAGAACTGCACAAGTAGAGACCGATGTCGGCGATCCATGAATTCCATGTAATATGATAGGGAGCTCGGGTTTGTTAAAACATCGCGCAGCGATATGCGAGACGTGGACGGTGCTTCGGAATAAGTGGGCTGACGCTGATACCATAATCTAAATTAATCTAAATTTCAGCCAATGCAGTACCGCACTCACCGGATCTGCTTCTCCACCTAACACCACTATCCGCTTCTCTGCTTTGCGTTTGGCGGTATACAAGCGGTCCAGGAAAGCCACGATATCTTCCGTCTTCTCGCCGTTTATCCAATCGTCTTTTTCATGATTCGCTGTATGCACGTCATTAGGCAGAAATTCACATAACTCGTGAATAAATACAATCTAACCTAGTAGTACCCGCGTCCGCCTGATCTCACTCATGACGTCGTTCTTCAATCGTCTCGCGTCCAGCAACGAAGAACAACGACTGATGCTGCGTAAGAATGATTCAAATTGTCTGGGATCAGTCCGAATGGTGATCTTCTCTGTTGTCGATGATCTTGGCTCTGTTGTTCGAACTTGCGAACGAGGCAGTTGAGCCTCAAGTATATTTCGAACCTTGGAGACGAGCCTCCTGAACAATAGAGGCACAATCGTGAAAAGTGCGCCCTGTCATCCCAAATATCGCACATACTGCTGACGAATGGCCGCTCCTGCCTGCGCGAAATGAGATACCTAACCACGAGAGCATGTGTGTACCCACCACCAAATCTATGGAGCGATTCCAAAAGTCGGGGTCGGCAAGCATCTCCATGATAGGATATAAGATCGAACAAGCAACGAGCTCCTTGACCACAATCCTGACGGCCTCGCTCTTTGCATCCTTCTCCGGGAGAATTAGCGGAAGCGCCTTGTCAACCAACTCTCGTAGGTGATGCTCTTCTGTCTGCTTCGTGAAAGTGGAGGAGAGATTATCCACCGCGCGGTGTAACTTCCCATCTCCTCTGCCGGCATAGCGACTAGCCAGTAACAGATCCAGTTCCTCTGACTGCGTGAGCCTGCGCTCTAGCCCCGCGCCTCGCAAAGCGACTTCAGATTGCCGGAACTGGTCGATATGGGCCGTCACCTTGGGAACTATCCGTCGAGCAATGAGAGCAGGAATATCGAGGGTCGTGGCACGAATCAACAGCTGTTCTAAGGAGCTGTGTAACACCGACGAGACGGCAGTGGGGAACGACGGCGAGGACGAAATTTCTTTATACCACACAAGTACAAAATCTCTTACAATCATAATCAGTATATCATTGAGTGCGGCTGAGGTGGCCGGGGATTCGGGATACAGCTGAGGCAACGTCTGGGGAGCCTTATGCGACCATTGGGAACGCGTTAGAACAGCCTGCCATGCCGCTGGTGTGGAGAATGCAAGCGGCCGTGCTGCGTATGGAAGCGTGTTTTGACTGGCGGGTCTGGTAGAGTCCAATGCATAGCCCAGCGCGATGTTGAGCAACAGGAATCCGAACACAGTAAACACGGTGAGGACAGGCAGTAGAAGGACGAGTGCGAGGGGTGACGACGCGACACGGACAGTGAGAGGGAGAAGAGCAGCGAAGAGGGCGATAAATATGGCTGTATGCTTGCTGGAGACGACCATTGTGTCCAAGCTGCGCCTGCGCGTTGGACTGACCTTCGCAGGGTGCGCGGGAGAGGCTGAAGCGCTCACACGGCCAACCAGTCTCACCGGAGATCTCACTAGTATGTAGCAACGGCCCTTGTGGGCGCGGGAAGGCACCGTCGCAATGTTCGTCCAGCATCGCATTTCCCACATAAACTCACGTCCACCCGCAGCAGCTCACTCTGAACCCCTCCAGTCCGCATACCTAGAATGTGGTGGCCGTTCTCTTCACACTATCCAGAGCAATCCCTTCAATTCCTACGACCACAGTACGATTACATTGTCGTGGGCGGTGCGTTATATTGCCCTGGTCTTTCATGTAATGATCTGCTCAAGATTTGGATATCTCTTTTTAGGAGGAAATGCAGGATGTGTCCTTGCTCGCCGTTTGAGCGAGGGCGGAAAGCATACAGTCCTGGTCGTGGAACGAGGCGATGCTCGTGATTCGTACGTCTTCCGTTCTCCTTGTGGTAGTGTTGGCTCAAATGACGGCAGCTTTTTAGACTCGACCCCACTGCTTGGAATACATCCATTGGGTGGCCTGAAACACACTTCAGTCGTTGAGTCTGCTCCCATTGCTACCCTCGGCGACCGCTCGGTTTCCCTTGCTTGCGGCTCGGGTTTGGGCGGTACCACCCGTATCAACGGGGGCCAATATACCTGCGGTGTTCCAGCTGAATTCAACAGTTGGAATGAGCGAGGACGGAAAGGTTGGTCTTATGAAGACCTAAAGCCTTATTTCCGGAAGTCGGAGACTTGGAATGGGCCGGTCCCTGAAGAGTACCATGGCCTAGATGGCAGGTGTACATTATCACCTAGCTTTGCCCTATGCTAATTTCCTTACAGGGCCTCTTAATGTCAGATCGTTCCAGGGCTACTTCTATGGTAGCTCAGAGAGGTAAGCCCCCTAGGCTTCATGTTGGTACTCGTTGTTCAGGTATGATTTCGACAGGGCAATGGCGGCCGCCAAGAGTATAGGTTTCTTAGACATACTCGATATGCATTCGCCCCTGGAGCCGAGTATTGGTGTGAACAAGATGCAATTCACAATTGACCCATCGGGACGCCGCCAATCAGCGTTCCGGGCGTACCTCCACGGAGACTTTGTGAAAGAACATGATAATCTCCACGTATGCACAAAAACATCTGCTCGTAAATTGGAGTTCTCGACCGCCGACGATGGCAGCATTCGTGCGGAGGGCGTGGAGTTGCACAGTTTAGACGGCCGTCAACGCCGCGTGGTCACAGCCCGGCGAGAGATCATCCTGTCCTGTGGGGCGCTGCACACGCCCCAGCTCTTACTGCTAAGGTACTATTCCCAACTGACACATGGGACAAACAACTGAGTCTGCGTAGTGGAATAGGACCCCAAGATCATTTGCATGAAATGGGAATCCGTGTCGTCAAAGACATGCCGGGAGTGGGAGCACATTTTGTACGTTGATTTCTTGCGTACGCTTCTAGAAATACTTGTGTTGACAGGCGGATCCATAGCAAGACCATGTTCTCGTGCCAACTGTTTACAATTGTCCTCTTTCTGACTCGTTGTGGGCTATGGTCAGACAACCCACAACTCTCATCCGGGAGATCTATAGATATATCAGATACGGCACGGGGTGGTTCTTGTGCACGTTTGCTGAGATGGAGATCTTTGGCTTATCATCTCTTGTGGCGTCGGACGGTCGGGTGCCCCAACTTACCAACTCACAATTAGACTCGTTCAACCCCAAGAACATCTCAGACTTTGCGGTATTCTGCGTGTGTCTTTTTATGCCCGCTCTATGTGAGCGATAATTGACGTGAGGACATTGGCAGTCACCGTTGGCCGACTCAGGGCGATTGCGTTACGAAACCAAAGGACTTCTCGGTTTGATGGCATGTCTTATGCAATCGAAGTCAGTCGGCCGCGTGCGCCTCCGGTCTTCCGATCCGACAGACGAGCCCATATTCGATATGCAGTACCTGACGCGCTCGGAAGACTACACTGCGCTCCGAGCAGCTCTGCGTGTGACGGTGGCGATAGCTCGGGAGATGCGTGCGGAAGGGTATGAACTGGATGATAGCATTGTTCCAGACGTCTCAAGCGATGCGGCATTGGACGAGTACATTCACAAGCACGCTAGCACGATGTTCCATTACTCGAGCTCGTGTCGAATGGCCCCGGAAGATGACTCGGAACCTGGAGTCGTGGACGACGAACTCCGTGTACACGGAATACCGAATCTTCGCATCGTAGATGCAAGTATTTTCCCTGATGTGCCGGCAACTCACCCTTCAGCATTGATTTATGCTATATCCGAGAAGTGTGCAGACTTAGTCAGGCAATGCGCGTCCGCTAGCGGGTGAACTCTTATTATTTACGTGCATATATTCAGTGTCGACGTCCTTATATTCGATCGTGAAAATCTTACGCTTCGTGGGATTTTTCAATTACGATTCGATTTCTGGGGATCGATCAAGTGAGTGTAACGGTGCCTCCAGACGATGGGTTCCTGAAACGCGTCTGGATTGCCGCTCCCACTATGATGTTTCACTGCTCTGAAGATCATCGACTGAGTTCACTTGCAATGAGGTATAATAAGCTTGCGCGTCTAGGTTATAGTATGTCAGTGGCACTTGTTCTCTTGATCGTCTCTGGCAGCATGTCTTATTCGACTCTAATCGAACACAGCGTGCACGTCTACACGAGACGGCACCAATCTCGGGGCGACAAGATACGGCTGCTGGCCACTGATGACGATCCTTAGTCGTTCTACTAAGTTGCAGTAACACGACGAGTATGAGTGCACGCGCGTGATGCCGCGTAATATTCAAAAACTCGAAACCTGCGGTGTACTAAAGTAAGTCCTTGATGTGAGTCCTCACGAAAGCTGTGCGCGATCCGGATGCTCGAGCGTCTGTCCAGCCCCAACTGCGCGTGACCCAGTGGCGGGCATACATAATGTCAAAAAGCTCGGGTCGGGCCTGCCCCGCAAATTCGGCTGACCCGTCTTTGGCTTCGACTCGACTTGCTTCGCTTGCGCAATGGCTTCAGCAGCACGCAATTCCCAGCCTCTCACCACCGCCGAGGGCTTCGCGTGCGGTGGACTGGCTGCCTGCGTTGCGGTTCGTGCACAGTCCTGCCCTTTCTTCAGGCGCACGCGTTAACACGCCGCAAGCAGGTCACGATCACGAACCCCGCTGAGGTTGCCAAGACGCGTCTGCAGCTGCAAGGAGAACTAGCTAAAGATGGCGGTGTGAAGGTGTACAGGAATACCTTTGATGTACTGGGGAAAAGCTGGCGTCACGAGGGTATCAGAGGCGTGCAGCGCGGTCTTGGTCCTGCTGTGAGTTTTGTCTTCTCCGAGGTCTCTGCCCCTAGCTAAATTTAGAGAAGTATGTATACCAGGTGAAAAACATACCGTTTCTTCTTATGTAAAACGAATTGAGTGCTGTCCAGATGCTGCTCAATGGCTCCCGCCTCGGTAAGCTGTGCCCTCCCGCCAGAGCGTACAGCATCGTCATCTTGGCCTACAGGATTCTACGAACCTATCAGGTGTTCGCTTAATAAGCTATTCAATATATCTCCCAGTGAGCAGAGAATTTACAGCTCATTAATTGCTGGGGCTTCAAGCGGGGCAATTGGAGGTGTGTTGTGTCAGAACTCACTAATCTTGTTGACTTGAGATTTTCCAGCGGCGGTTGGAAATCCACTTTTTTTAATAAAAGCGAGGCTACAGGTCGGTATCACTTACAAATTTTCTGGAGACACGGCTTCCGAGTACACATATCGCAGGCATATTCTTCTTCATTGCCAGTAGGCACACAACGCTACTACAAAAATGCCTTCCACGCGCTCAGATCAGTCTACCGTGAGGAAGGGCTACGCGGTATGATTCGTGGTGTGGACGCTGCTGTTCTTCGAACAGCTATGGGATCGACGGTCTGTAATCTGTCCGTCAAATATTGACTGCGGGCTGACGTGGCGCATCAGGTGCAACTGCCAGTTTACAACTGGACAAAGAATCACCTTATTGAGCACGACTTGTTACCAGCTAACAGCATATGGACATTCTTAGCTAGTAGCTCTGTTTCAGGGATGTGTGTTGTAAGTGCCTCTCACTACCATGCCTTAATTTAGGCCAACAACGATTTGATTTCAGCTTGCAGCCATGCAACCCGCTGATACAGTGAGTTCCTTTCAGATCTGGAGAGGGAATTCAACACTCAGTACTGACTGTAGGCACTAACACGTATGTATAACCAACCAACTCGCCGTTTACCCGACGGCAAAGTCGTCGGTACGCTTTACAGACATCCCATCGACTGTTTATGGAAAACATTGAGGACGGAAGGCTTTTTTGGGTGGTACAAAGGTATATTTTGACCAACCGTGATCATCCGACGGAAAACTCATTTTCTGATGTCAGGCTCGTTCGCACATTTTATCCGCATCATGCCACATACGTGAGTGCTTTATGCTGTATGTGGCTCTGAGACAAACTAGATGATTCGCTTCACAGCGTTGTCACACTGACCGCGAACGATATCATCATTGGTCTCTATAAGCGATACCGAGATCGCTCATCGTAGAATTCTGTTCTGTGGATCACCGGGATCTTCTGAACTATACTTCTTCTGGGGTAATGCTCTGCTAGTGACAGTGACTATTTGTAGTTCCACTGCAGATTAATAACTAGACTATAGACCCATCTCGGCCAGACTACTGGAATACAAGTCCATACCCTTACAGCGCAATCGTTGAGTTACAGTCCTGCGGAACTCCTTGACGTCAGACTTTCGGTCTTAGGAGCGAATGGGAGCGAATGACTTCGGAACAAACACATAATGGTTTATCTCCGGGATCGCCCTTTTCCGCAAGATGACCAGCCCTTTGTGGTCAAGTGGTTAAACATTTGTTCTCCCTTGTAGCGCAGGCTGCTCGTAGAAGCCCAATGAACGTAATTTTGTGACCGATGGGTTGACAGGCCTGCGGACCGACTTCAACCGAATCAAGGTCTATAACGATATCAAGGCAGCTGACCTGTCGTCAAGTGGTACAGAGTCGAAGCATGGTTTGCAAGAAGACGTCCTCGGTGCCCCGTCAGGCCACTGACATTGTCACCTGTTCCCTAGGGCTCGGAGGTGAATTTGCCAGGTAGCTCTTCATTGAAGGAGTATATATAGCTTGTGCGAAATTGCAGCATGTCGAGAGATGGCCGGGCCTTTTCGAGTACCTCGACTATTCACCTTGCTTGTTTGTTTCCAGATCTTGCTACAGCTGGTTCCTGCGGCTAGTGTTGCGTTATCACAGTTTCCGGATACCGATGTAGTCATCATATCGAACAATGATCTTGATCCGTCAAATCCAAACCGAGCAAGTGCGCTATATCTCACGCACAGATTCAGCTGCGCAGAGGCGGCCATAGCATGCGCGCAGCTCCAGGAGACACTTCTTCCTCCACCTCAAAGCACTGGACTTACAGTGACCAACCCGTCGGCAGCTCTGACATCCGAGAGACATGGCGCTGCAATTTCTGCGTCTCAGCAAATTTGGATCGCTGGTACCGGTGCGCTTGTTGCACTGTATGAATGTTTCCACGCATTAATAGCTGATTTCTGACGAAGACGCTGCCTATTGCTCCGTCTTTACGCCCAGCTACCAATACACGGACCATTATTCTTCATCGACAGCTGATTCGGTCAACTTCGACGATCGCCTCCCAGTGCTCTGCACCAATTCTGCTCCGCTCACCAGGTCGAATGTCACATCTGACATATCGCGCCAGATCGACTTACCTACGTCGTCCGCTGGCATCCTGACGGGCTTTCGCGACAAGTTTACTTGGCGTTTCCTCGGGATCAAGTACGCCAATCCGCCAATTGGCGCGGCGAGATTTCAGCCGCCGGTTCCTCTCATAGTGGAACGCGATACCGCGAGATCTGCCTTAGCATATGGGCCAGCATGTGCACAGGTTAGCGATTCCAGCGGATATCTGATTCTCAAGCTGATGATGAACGTAAAGCCGCCTGACCCCGACAATGGGCATGAGTGGTATGACGTAGAGGACTGTTTACAGTTAAATGTGTATTCGCCTGTCGTTATCAGTGGGTCGGCTGGCGACGGAAGCGCGCCAAAGCTTCCTGTTATGTTCTTCAGTAAGCATTCCTTTTGCCGACTTAGTTTGTAGGTTGTGAAGGCCTTGACCACTGTCACTCCATAGTTCACGGTGGAGCTCTGAATACCGGGGACAGTGGGCCAATCCCATTTAATATGACCACCAGTGGTTATGTCGGGCCCTCGATATCCAACATTTTTGACGGAACAAACATGGTCTCATACAATGGCGTAGTCCTTGTGACAATCAACTATCGATTGAACGCATTCGGATGGTTCAACGCTTCAAATGCAGCATTGAAAGATGCGCTGCTGGCATTACATTGGGTGCAGGATAACATTGAGGCATTTGGCGGAGATGTGAGCATTTGGCAGTCCTTCTCAGCTGACCGTTATAATTGAACTTACGGTCTACTGTCAAAAGCCAACCAAAGTTCTCATTTTCGGGGAATCCGCAGGTGGAACAATGACGAGATATTTACTTGGAACGAATCCAGAGTACACTGATGGCTTGTTCAGTAAGTATTGTGCTGACAGTTGCACCATCCGGCTGACTTTATCGCGTCTCGATAGATGCCGCAGTGCTCGAATCCGACTTCTCCATCAGCAATCCGTTCTATTCCCCAGAGCTTGCTCTGGATACGTCACTTACTCTCGCAAAAGGTCTTGGGTGTGCCTCCAATTCATCTACCGTCTTCAACGAGACTATGGCTATTTGCGTTAGAGACTTACCCACCGAAGAAATTGTGGCCGCATCATATGATCTTGGCATCTCTTGGGACATTGTGGTTGATGGCAACTATGTATTAGCCGATATTGCGACAAGCATTCGGGATGGCGATTATGCGCGTGTGCCGACGATATGGTCAACAAACGAATGCGAGTACTGCTTCTTCCTGCCGGCCTCGATTCCAGCAAATGCTTCGCCGTCTGCATTTCCAAACAACTTGATGGACTTCTTCAACGAGACTCAGGCGCAGGCCATCATGGACGTATCCGGGGGAGCAGATACTCTGTATCCCTACGAGGTTGCGCCTTCGGAGGACGGCATTTCCGGCGCGGTTCTACAGCTGGCACAGCTCATGACAGACTGGTACTTGCATTGTCCCATGCTGTACCTCTCGTCCCTCGCGACTAACACGAGCAATCCTGGAAACAACTACAAAGTCATGTTCGCCGTAGGACTGGGCTCGACGATCACCGCGAACCCGAGGACGTGCGTGGGACAGGTATGCCATGCTGACGAGCTGTACTGGGTCTTTGCAACGGCGGAGACGGATAATCTGTACCAGCCGCTGACCGCTAGCGAGGTGGCAACGACGCAAGAGGTCAATAAGCGGTGGACGTCCCTCGCGTGGACAGGGAACCCGAATTACGAGGGCGCGGTTGTAGAGTGGCCGCCGTATACGGGCGACAACGAGGTTATCATCAATGCGACTGCCACAGAGACTATTCAGTCGTACCGAGTCGCTCAATGCGATTTCATTGAGAGCAGGCTCGGACTAGTGTTTGGGGATCAATAAATCGACTGCATAGTATGAATCGGACATATTCTGAGCCCAGATATTCCGCTCTCATATCAGTAACATCGTCCCATCAGAGAACCGTTTTATGTACTTAGTAACTGAAACACAGGTTGTGGCTTCAAGCTAGTCACCTTCCGACTAGAGCCGCCAATCACAATTCACGGATTTATAAATTCAAGCACCGCTCCCGGGTATGAACCCGTGGCACAGTGGTAGCGCGTAAGATTCCAGTTCGTGGCATCCTTAAGGTCATCCGTTCGACTCGGGTCGGGTTCACTGCTTTTTCTTCCATTTCACTAGCAAGTATTAATCCGCCTTAAAATGAGCTATGCACTCACCATTTGGGTAGTAGTCTCAGATCATTCGAGCTGCACTTTTTGCTCGGTGCCGCGCTCGCGTGTCATAGTGACTTTAGGTCATTCATTCACTGTGGGTAATGAACATTAATGTGCCACAGTATTTTTGCAGCATATTGTTAGAAATGAAAACCTTTATTGGCATGGCATATGTTCCAAATATCGTAAGAAAATCAAGTCGTGCGCCAGTCTGGTTTTCCTAATGGCATAGCTCAATGTATTTTGAAAGACTCAGGAGCTGTGCCACTGGAGCTCCGTTTCAATCGACTATCTACAAACCCTTTTCGATCATGGTACCTGGAATAGCGTTCAAGACAAACAGTACCCCACGAAGTCTGCTGAACCGGGGACCACAAAGACTCAATAATCCCCGAGTTGCCACAGAACAATCTACGCATATTTTTACAAGGGTGGAGCATAGTAAATCCGCCATGAAGCTTTCTATGAAGCGCCGGTGGATGATTATGTCTGGACTTTGTCAAATATCTTCAATATATACTGATCTCCTTACATACACGAGCTTCGGGTCAACCTCATTCTGGATGTACAGTACCACCAAGATCTAGAATGTATGTCAAACAGCAACAGCTAGAGTGACTATGCGGCGAAGCTCTACGCCTACACCCGAATTTGCACCCAGCGCAATAGCAAGTGTGAAACATCTACATTAAGACACAATTATCTTAATGCGGGGGCACAGCCCTCGTCCACGATGACCTAGCTACGTTTATACGCGCCTGCCCACGCGTTTGCGTCTTCCCGTGAACTGAGCATGCACAGAGGTGGCGGCACACAGAAGCGTGGTGACCGCGCACCTTCCAGGCCTACCACATGCGACGCCCCTTCTCAAGCCCGTCACGGCAGGTACTCCCCCGGATCCCTCACATGTTTGTTGGATATGAAACGAATCCAATGGTAACGGATACCCATGTGGGGCTGGCGTATACACAGTTGTCCTTCGCAGTTGCTGTTCAATAAGTATAATTTAGCAGATTCGTCCATTTGAGACTTGCTATTTTCGAATGCGATGTTAGGCGACCCTCAATAGCAACATGCACGAGACTCACGGACAAAGACCTCTATGCCCATAACGTCAGCTTGGTGAACTCTACATCTCCGGACGCACTGTGTTTGGCAACGAATAGGGCACCTAATCGAGTAGCTGCAAGGGCAGAGTTAACATTAATATCACACATCATAACCAGCGATGTTCAAACCTTCATCGACTCCAGATTCCTTGCATGGGGTTGTGGTCAGCCCCACAGAGTGGAGTGCGTTCATCACCTGGCCGTACGTTCCTCTGAAGAGAGAACCCGACTCGTCCTCCGCATTATAAGAGTCGGTTGACTTAATGCTTCCATATGATACCCGAGAAAGCTTGTGCACCTCCATCGGATCATCCTTCTCTGTGACAGGCGTTGAGTCCATCCCCGCCGCCAGAACAGCCTTTGCGATGCGATGTTTAAGACGCAAAAGCCGGCCCTCCGACAATTTACGTGGTGGGCGGTACCGATGCGAAGCGAAGCGAATGTAGAGACCTTGGCTACTGGTACCATCAGGGGTGCTGAAAACATTCTTGGGCGGGTACACGAGGGTCTCCGAGGAGGCAGTCTCAACAGAGCTTAGGAGCGTACTCATACTCCCATTTGTGTGTAAAACATTATTGAGTTTGGATGGGGGTAATGGGGGACGTGAATGAGTGGGTCGAAACTTGACATTGGCGAATTCGACGATGTACGGAATTCCATACGAGGTGAACTTAACCTCAGGTGCCATGGCGTATACCAGATCCTAAGAAGGCAGACAATACAAGATCGCTGCGGCAAGGGATGGGATGGATGGGAAGAGTACGAGGTCGTACGAGGATGATGTTAGGAGGACTCGAGCGAGAGTGTTCATATTAGAGCGGCGTGTGGGACCCTTGTGGCTGGCACGCTTTGCAAAATGCCTGCTCCTGGAGAGCCAGAAAGAGAGCAGGCTGGAAACACCCTTGACCTCTGTGATCCGAAGAGACGATGCCACGCGGATCAAGACATTGATAGGGTGACTCGGATGAAAATGAGTACGGAGGCCCCGGTGACAGTACGCGCGAAGTTGATAAGTAAGGCAGCAGACTCCCAATATTTAGGATCGGGACAGACACAGGACACAGGACACAGGCCATCATGAGATAAGTTAATGTAGAGAGACCTCACATAGAACACGTTGTGCAGCGCCTCAGAAACCGAGGGGGCACCTCGTCGTGACTTTGCGAGGGAGCTTTGAGAACCGACAGTCCGGATCGCAGATTGATACTAAAATCTGCATTTAAAAACCTCATCCTGAAAAGCCCTTGCGGTGCTGTGACTTGGGGATAGGTTAGCCTGGAGCTCGGATTCAGGCAGCACGAGCCCCTAATTATTTTCCTGTATACAGATGGTCTCAAATGATGAATACCCAAACAAGACCTTGGTCCCTATGTGCAAGAAGACACCAGTGCAGCGTGTAATGGGTGAGGAATCCTGTAGGCCGAATGAATAGCTGCCGCAAGTCAGCGGCACCAAAGCGGTACTGCCGGAAGACAGGGAAGAGCAGGGGTCGTATGCGTAGTCTGTGCGATTGTCCATCATGTCTGGAAGTCAAGATGAGAGGGACAGCGACGAGGCATGAGTGTGAGGGATATTCCACCATTCGGTCATCTGCTTGTCGCGACATTCTGAATTCTCACGTGACGGTGTCACACTAGACGTGTCCCAGCCCCGCCGCAATGAGGTTAGGACCTCATCCTGAGTGTTGAATTGATAAGAACATACATACTCATTCTGTACCGATAGGCTACAGGCTACATAGCTGCACTCGATGGCCGAAACAGGCCCTGTATCTGCGCCAACTCAGGTCGTGATCCTGGGTGGTGGTGTGATTGGACTTACCATTGCCCATGTTTTATCTGCCAGTACGCAAGGGGAATATAGCATCACCATCGTTGCTCGCGACATGCCATCGGATCTGGAATCACAGTCATTTGCGAGCCCATGGGCTGTCAGTGTGCCTTGTATGCCTATCGCCGTTGGCTGATTTGAACGGGTTTACGCCAATCGTCTAGGGTGCAAATTGGTCCCCAATCGGTGGATACGACGAGTGTACTTACAGACGGGAAATAGTCACCTTGTGAGTCGAAGGACTTGCCAAATGGTTTTGATCGAAGACCTAATCATTCCTCCTCGACAAGCAACAAGCTGTGGAGTCTAATTCCGACCGGGATGGTCATGGCAAGCTCTCATGCTATGCAAATAATGATTATTCTTCACCTATCACAACAACAGGCACTCCCGTTTCGTGTCTATTACGAGACTGCTGAAGGTCTAGACAAACTCTGGTACAGAAATCTCGTTAGGGATGTTAGTACCTCGTTTGGTTCCATGATTCTGACGACACTCATCTATTGCGCAAATAAGTTTCGTGTTATGGACGCAGCCGAGCTTATTTCGGGCGCGAAGGGCGGTGTATACTTTAATACGGTTTCCCTTAATCCTGAGCTATACTTACCTTGGCTTGCTGCTGAATTGAACGCACGTGGTGTCCGTTTTGTCAAACAGAGGATGCAAAGTCTCAGCCAAGCGGCAGCCCTGGCTGGCGCAGGCGGAATCGTTGTTAATGCAACAGCACTAGGTCAGTGGCATCTACAATGTTCACCGAGTATTGTGACACCTTTCCACTCTCAGGTGCCCGGTCATTGATTGGGGTGGAGGACTTGAATGTGTATCCCATTCGTGGACAGACCATCATCGTGCATGCACCGAGTATCAAAGAGTGTGCAGCGTTTCCATTAGGTACACATGGCTTCGCATGATGCACTGTGATTGAGATGACATTCTGCCACGTTTCAGAAAGCAAGTCCTCCGACCCTAGCCGAGGGGAAGCAACGTACATGATTCCGCGCCCCTATCCAGTAGGGCACGTTTTGTTGGGGGGTACCTATCAGCCAGATAATTGGGAAACAGCAACAGACTTTTCAATAGCACAGGGAATCCTGAAGCGCTGTGCAGCCTTCGCGCCGGAGTTGGCCAGCAAAGATTTGCGTATACTGAAACATAATGTTGGCTTGCGGCCTGCTCGGAAGGGGGGACCCCGCATCGAGGTAGAATGGCGTAATCTACCCATCAAAGATGCGTTTGCCACCGTGATTGCGCCGCCGTTTACGCCTAGCAGACAAGGAAGAATAATGGTTGTCCATGCCTATGGTTTCGGGTGAGCCTATTTATTTGGTGTGCCCAAGACTCCGCTCATCGTGCCCATGACGTCGACAGTCCCGCTGGGTATCAGAACTCGTGGGGGGCCGCGGAGGAAGTTGCTTCGCTCATTTGTTCTAATTTCGATAGCATGGAAGCTAGACTGTAGACCCAAAGATCCCTCCCACGGGTGGTCTCGTACCCAGACGTGTCTTCGACACGTCTAGGGTAGCCTAGCAGAGACCCCCCCTTCCAGAGGCGCCCGCTGAGCGCCCTATGTAACGGTCACACTGGCCTTCTCGGCCCGTTGTAGTTCTAGAAAAATGAGATTGAATCACCCGATTGCACTCCATTTTGGGTAGCTACGCCTTGAGCGCGTCGCCGCGAGTAGTCGAAAACACGAATGAAAAACCACACCTACAATCATCATTGCCATACCATACCATGCTGCGGAACATGTCAAATAGCCGAGCCCGCTCACTGGGTCACAAGTAGTGACAAGAGTAAGCCTATGAAAACCTGCGCGCCGCTCGAAGAGC